GGCCCCGCGGCGCCCGCTGACTCTCCCCTCCGCAGGCAGAGGAGGATGCCGGGGGCCAGCAGAGTTATCACTCCGAGCTCCACGTGGCAGCATCGCCCCAGGGCGGCCCCCCTGAAGTGCCCAAGAAGACAGACAAAGTCCTGCAGATGAGTAAAATCCTCAACCCCGATGCTCTGGCCCCAGGTAAGTGCCACCTGCACCCCAAAGCTGACACCGCTGTCATCTCATAACGTGGGGCTGGAGGCAGCGGGTGCCAAAACCCTCCCCCAGAGGGTTTATGTATATAAATATATAACAGGTATTTCTATGTTCATACTCGTGCACCCGCAGCAGCCCATGTTGTCTCTCCTCCTGCGCAGGGTACTCACGTCCTCTTAAAGAAGTCCCCCCAGAGAAGTTCAATGTCACCGCCATCCCCAAGGGCTACCAATCCCCATGGCATGACCTCCTTGGTGACAAGGATAATGCTGTGCTCGGGGAGTACCAGCCACCCATGAGACCCTCTCAGTGGGACTTCAGGAGCTTCAACAGGTAACGCTGGCCAAGGAGCAGGCACCACAGCCTGTCCCTGCAACGAGAAGCACTTTCCATCCTGCCAGGGAAATGCAATGTTCCGTCCCATCTTTACACACCACAGGGGCTCAGGTTGCCCTTTTCCTGCTCAGGAGCTCCTCTGCACAGGTCCCTGCCTCCAGCAGCTCCCCAAACCTCCTCTTAGCTCCACCACTGGGTTTGTGCAGCTTGATCTCATGGGGTAACTGCAGGGATGAAATCTGGGAGGACTAATTTCCATGTACATGGTCCCGGAGAAAGAATCGCTGCTGTTCCAGCCAGGCTCAGCTCTGGGCTGGGTGAAGGAATGGCACAGACAGTGCCAAGTCTCTCTCATAATGTCAGTAAGGCATATCCAAGCAGCTGCTGGAAGCAGTGGGGGTATAAGGTTAATCTTCCCACCAAGTGCTAAGAGGTCACCAGATTCCTTCCAAACACCTGCTTGAGATTGAAGTCTCCAGGCCAGGGAGTTCCATGCCCTGAGGCTGCTTCCAAGGGGGCATGGAGGGCTGCTGCCTCCTCACATCTCCCAATTACACTGGGATTGAGGTTGGGACCCTGGATAACCTCCTTTCTGGAAAGGTGCTTGGTGGGGATCCAGGAGACGGAGATCTAGTGGTACCAAAGTACCAGCAGCCCAAGGTAGACTAAAGAGAACTGAGCTTTTAAGCTGAACATCATCCTAGGGTATCTGCAGACCAAGGCCCTGGCTCTTCTCCTCACCAAAAGCCTCTCCCATGAGGATGACACTACTCTATCCTTGCTCTCCTGGCCAAAGCCACCTTCCAATAGGCAAGTTCCCACTGGAGCTCCCTCCCAGGGCACAGCACTGCTCCCTGTCACACCATCATCTGCCATGGTGCTGGGCCTCTGCAGGCAGCAGCTTTCCTGAGGCCACAGTCGGGTTGTATCCCAGTTGTGGAGGACGAAAGTGCTGTGCTTTGAGTGCTTGGCAGAAGGAGCTGTTGGGAACTACAAGCCCTCCACATAGGAATGGCATCCCAAAGGGCAGAGATCTCGGCTGGAGGAGCAGGGATGATGCTGCCACTGTGCCTTTGCTGCTCTCCTCTCCCTCAGCCCTGGGGCTTTGCCGTGTGGCATGGCAAGGGGCACAGCACGAGGCTGCTACATGCTCAGCCCCTCTGCATTTCCCCTTCCACACCAGTGAGAGGGTCAGAGTGCACTGGTCTGCACTGGAGTGGGGCTGAGGGAGAGAGGGAGGAGGTTGAGGGATAACAGAAGGGACAAGCAAAGGGGCTGTGTTAGCTGTTCCCTCACGTTTTCCTTCCCGGGAGCTTCCCTGAAGCAGTAACATCCAAGGAGGTGCCGTAGGGGGAGAATAAGGAGCTGCTGCAGACACTGAGCTCTTTTATTCACCATTTACCCATGTTCCTGCCTCAGGATTTATTTATGGATGGGGACTGAAGCAAGGGCATGTTTCTGAATAATGCTTTCCCCTGTTCTGCTTCTCCCCTCTCACATGCTGCCTTTCTATTTAAAGTCTTGAACTGTTATTTAATACAGATGGATGCTAATTTAACACCAAGCCTCTCGCCACCTCCTCTAATTCTTCACTGAGGCATGAAGTTTCAGAGAGCCAATCTGCTTTTAACTGGGCTTTTCATGATCTTCCAAGCTGTTGGCTTTTAAATCACTTCTCAGTTCATCAAATACCAAACTGCAGAAAAACAAGCTTTTGGGAACAAATCGGCTATGAGAGAAGCCAGTGGTGTTGCCTAAAGCGAGGTGAATCCCAGCATGGCTCACCCAGGTCACAGGGCACATTCACCACCTCAACAGCAACTGCACTATAGCAGACTTGTTGGGATATATTCCCAACTTTAAACCCTCAGGCTGTCAGGTGAAGACCTTCAGACACTCTGCTGAAGTGCGCTGCCTTAAGAGAGAGTAAACCCAAGCTTTGGAAATGCCTTTTCCCAGAAGGGAGAAAGTTCCTGGAACAAACCTCTCTCTTTTACTTTCCTCCTCTTATTTCTCCTGTTGCAGAACAGTGCCACGTTACTCATGTTCAAGCAGCGCTTCCCAAAGCAAATATTCCCAGAGATGCCTCATTGATAGCTCAGCCTCCATGTGCTGCTCCAAAACCAACATTCTTGGCTTCTCAGAGGCTGTCACTCTCTTCCCAAATCCCTTTCCACATTTCTCTAGGAAGGGATGACAGATCTTGCCCCCGCACTGCTCCTCCTGTTACTCATAGTTGAAGAGAAGCTGTCCCAAAAGGCAGCCTGGAGTCAGGGCCAAGAGAGAGACAATTGCCTGCACACGTGCTAGAACCATCCGGAGGCAGCACGATCGGCCTCAGGCCTCTGCAGAACACATTAGCTGTGGACAAGTCACTTTCTAAAGACCAGAGGGTTCGTTACCATCACTTGCTCTCTTAATCTAACCCCTTTCACACACAGCTCATCTCTACTGCTGGTGGTGGAGCTCATCAAAAGAGACTATGGTGAAGGGAACAACATGCTTCCTCCCTCCCATTCCACAGCCACTCATGCACCAAACTCTTTGGCTTGCCAAAGCCTGAACTGAGGTTGACTCTGTACAAGAGAAGCACCTCGCTGGGCTGGCAGAGGCTCTAACAGCATCCTGGGGAGGAAGAGGAGGGTTATCACTTGCTACAGGTCTTGCTAGGCTGCTGCTGGGCTAAATTACTAAATCCAGACCTGCTTTGTCTCTCACCTTTACTACTTGCAATCCCTCCTTGTAACATACTAAATCTGCCTCTTCTCCTGCCGCAGGACTCCCGCCCCATTCGACAGAACGCAGCTCAGTGACCTGTTCTTTGTGCCCGCCACGGAGCTGGACAACCTGAGTGCTCTGGAGGTGATCAACCAGAGGCGTAACTTCAACAGGGTGCCCCAAGGCTGGGTGCGGATTCTACCGGAGAGCGAGGAGCTGTAGCACACGCGCTCCCTTCCCCATCACCACGGATGCTTCTCTTGCTAGACTCAAGCACACTTCGCACTGCAGGGGAGAGAGGAGTAAGTGTTCTCCATGAAAGCCGAGCTGGTGGTCTCTGGTTGCCGT